AGACTGACGGGCCTATAGTTGCCCGGGTCCTCCCTCCTCCCTTTTTTAAAAGATGGGGACCACATTGGCTATCTTCCAATCATCTGGCACATGGCCCAAGCACCCCGAGCACTCGTAAAGCCATGCCAAGGGCCCTGCAATAACCCCTGCTAGCTCCCTCAACACCCTGGGGTGGAGAGCATCTGGACCTGCTGATTTGAACACGTCTAGCCCCTCCAGAAGCACTCTAACCTGGTCCTCCTCAACCTTAGGTCTTGAGGCATTCCCCTCGAGTCCATCTTGAATCACGGTATGGGAGTCCCGGTCCCTGCACAAGAAAACACAGGTGAAGAATTTGTTAAAGAGGTCTGCCTTCACCTCTGGCGCAACCACCAGATTGCCCAGCGCATCTTGCAGGGGCCTCACATTTCCCAGTGCCTTCTTCATCCTCCCTATATATTTGAAAAAGGACTTTTTATTCTCTTTGATTTTGGATGCTAGTCCTAGCTCTATGTCCACCTTAGCTTTCCTAACAGCCCCCCTACAGGCCTGAGCAGTGGAGGTATACTTCTCCTTGGAGATCGCCCCCCCCACCGCCAACTTCCACTGGGTGTATGCCGCCTTTTTGGCAGGCATTCCTCGACATCCTTGGTGAGCCAGGGAGGCTTTTGGGCACTCTTGCCCCCCTTTCTTCTTGTTGGGATTGTCACCCCTTGGGCCCTGAGTATCATCTCCTTAAGGAATCACCACTCATCTTGGGCACCGAATTCCCCTGCCCTCGAGAACCCCAGCACCTCTCCCACCAATCTCCTCAACTCGTTGAAGTTGGCCCTCCTGAAGTCTAGGGCTACCGTCTTGCTGCAGGCCCTTGTCACCCTGCGCTGGATGATGAATTCCAGCAAGCAATGATCACTATCACCCAGGTGGTCAAGGACCTGGAGCCCCCTTACCAGATCATTTCCTGTGGCCAGGACCAGGTCCAAAATACGATTTCCTCTGGTGGGACTGTACACCTGCTGGGTTAAGTGGAGGTACTGTATCTTAGCCAGGAACCTCCTGGAACACTCTGACCTGGCTGACTGCTCCTCCCAGCAGATGTCTGGGTAATTTAGGTCACCCCTGACAGCTACATTCCTTGCCTTAAGTGCCTCTGCAAGCTGGCCCCAAAATTCCCAGTCAAGCTCCTCCCCTTGTTTGGGGGATCTGTAGTAGACCCCCACCGTTACATCCCTCTCCCCACGACCCCCTTGTATCTTGACCCAAAGCATTTCAGCTTGCCCCTTCTCTGATCCCATTTTGCTGGCAGAGGATGTGTATTGGTCTTTGACTTAGAGCGCCATACCCCGTCCCTTCCTTCCTTCTCTATCCCACCTGTAGAGCCCATAGCCCCTAATGCTAACTGCCAAGTCATGGGATAAATCCCACTACGTTTCTGTAATCCCTACTATGTCTGGGTTTGAACTGGCTATTCTGAGGGCAAGTTCCTCCTGTTTGTTCCCCATACTCCGAGCATTGGTATACAGGAATTTAAGGTCTTGCATAGCTGCATGTTCCACGCCGCCCCCCCCCGATTAGGAAGACTATCTGGACCCCTGTGTCTTACCTGGGCACTCCTTGCATGTGTCACCTGTCTTGCTCAGGTGGTGTCTCCACATCTTCGAGCAGCCCCCTTCCACATTGGGAAGACAAAACCAATTTTTCTTGAAGGTTGCAAAGAGGGCTATTGGGATATCTGTGTAACGTTATGTAATGGACACATCAATATAATAGAGCAGGGGATCACCAACATTTTCCATTTTTAAGTGAGATTCACCCAGCTCACAGGAAAACTAGGGTGATACCCAAACCATGTGACTACTACCACTTTTTGTCAGTGCTGCTTCTTTTTGCTGCCCAGCTGCAGTACAGCACAGCACAGAGTAAGAGAAGGCTCCTGTTAGCAAAAGACCTTCCTCCACAGGGTGGATATAAAGGCATCATGGGCTCTGGATTGTCAACTGCTATGATGAAGTCCAGACAAAACTGATAAGGTCAAAATGAAATACTTTGGGACCACCCAAGGGGGCCTAGCACACCCCCACCTGAGACGTAAGACGACTGCCGGCCCGAACACCCCGGACACATCTGCAGACCGACCAACAACTTTGTAATTTCTGCCCGACCCAAGTTTTGTAACTGTAATTGAAGCAAGCATCTGACCTGCACTGTACGAGCAGTGTAAGTAAACAACCTTTTTGTTCAATCAAAACGCTTGAGTACCTGATTCCACTCCAAGCGTCACAAGTACCCGCCCGCCGACTAGGGTTCCTAAAGCCCCGAACCCCACACTGCGGCTCTCGGCGGCGACAGATGCTACCTCTGGAGCCTGCCTGGCATGGGCTGTACATGGCATGAGGCTGCACAGGGATGTATGTTTCATGTGGCACCTGTGCAAGGTGAGCCCTGTGTACTAGGCTGGGGGTTTGTCTGGATTGGGCCCATTGACCCACCCTGCACGCAGGATCCAGTGTACACAGACAGCTACACGTCTTCCCCACTGGGCAGTTTTTACTGTGCAGTCATGTAGTACTTGCTTTAACGAGAACTAAATGAACACGCAGTACCCGCCATGGCTGCGCAGTCCCGAAGGCGCATGGGGAATTTCAAACCCTACTGTGCAGTAGCAATGAGGCAACGCTCAGGAGCTCATTGCTAGTGCACCATAGCGGTGGCATCATGGTTGATGCCTGCCAACACTATGTTGCCACAGGGATGAACGACATCACCCAGTGACCTGCTGTGGGCACCATGTGCTGCAGGCTGGCCCCTCACATCTTATGCTGTGCACGGTGCAGGGACCGGTTTGTGTTGCATGTGCTTTGCAGGGCTAGAGCTGCAAGCACCAGATGTAGTCAGTCCATAATGCCCCTTGCCTGCAGTGCCTCCACTAGACCACCCCTGTCAGCTTGATCTGGCAGATGGGGTCCATCTGTGTATGACACCGCTGGGTTCAAGGGTAGCTGATGGTGGAAGAAATGAGGGGGACTGGGGACCTTGGATGTATATGAGTCAGGGGAAAGTGGTCTGAGGGGCTGCCATATTCATGACAGTAGATTCAGAACCAGGACCCTACTAATGATTGCTGAGCTAATATTTTGTCAATGTGATGCCTTGCAATGGAGCTTGTTTGTCTTCACTATGGAATACATTAATTATACTTAAAGTTATTTATTTTGCACCTTACAACCTGACTTTTATTCTCATGTTTTATCTCATGCAAAACTACATAGGAACTAACCCAATTGCAGCTTGGTGCCTCCCTGCATGCTAAGGTGCCCAGACTGGCTAACTGGAACAATAGAGCCAGATAGAGAAGCTCAGGGCCTTCTCGGAGATCCCATGACTTGTGTTGTGAGGGAGATTAAACTAGAGCACAGCCCTGCTGTTCTGCTAACATTTGTACAGCTCAGACTGTTTACATCTGGGCTTTTCCTTCTGAGCTGTGCAGGACTCCAGGGAGTGAGTCCCATGAGCCTTTGGAAGAAAACTACTGAAAAATTGCTGTCTTGCTTCACTACTTTTCTACAAGGCATGGCTGAGGTCAGCTGCATACTCAGAAACCTGGTTGGATTTACTTCAGTCATTCAGTGACAGAAGGAGCAGAGAAAAACCTCTGAGTTATCTGTGCTTCTGGGGACCTAGACTAGTGGTTGGTGCAGAGGAGATCTGAGAGATCAACTGGACAAGAGCAAAGGATCTCTTGCAGGGGAAGCCTGAATATGACACAAGAGATAAGGAAACGTCCACAAAAACAATGTCAGTAAGTTTGCTGCATCGGTGATGTGTCCTCTCTTAGTAAGATGCAGAGGAGATTTTAAAACATTAAAAGTTGGAAAACCTGGGTACAGAAATACTGCATTTTATGTATAATAGACTCAAACCTACAAGAGTGAATGAAGACATTTCCAATGTTTTTGCTATTCATTCAGATAATGTTATAAAGCATATTGGGAGTGCGGTGGGAAGAGGGGAGGGGTGAGATTGAGACCTTTAAGGAATTCATCTTTTTTTATATAATATCTTTTATTTCACATATATTTGTTTCCAGAGTACATTTTCTAGGTGAGATCTATTGAAAACGATAGACTTTCAGATTTAAAGCAAAGAAAAAAATCCTGAATTGTGACTGGGCTAGCATTTTCTTCATTTTCTAAATGAAATATCAAAATAATGTATTT